ATAAAATAAGATCAGTAATCTTGGTCCTACTACTATCGATCAGTATTCCAGCTAACTTGGGGTTACCACACGGTAGTAGCTGCAATTTAGTCAGTCAAGCATCCATACAATCATAAGAGTATTGAAGATGACGCGACACTATCATCGTGTTTCTCCTATTCCCATGTGTTTAGAAATCATGCGAATCCAAGAGGCCCTTGGCCATCTACATTGCAGGCACTAGGTTCGATATCCTGGTCATTTCACCCAAATCCCCTTCAGATTCGAGATTCTGGCTATCCTGGTTGTTTCACCCAAATCCCCTTCAGATTCGAGATTTTGGCTTGCATTGATGCTACTTTTGTCGTCGGGCTTGGGTGCCTCAACTCTTTTTGCAGAAAACATCTGTTACATAATTGTTCAAATAGGTACTTGTGCATTGGGGAAACATACTCCTACACTGGCGCCACTTGCTTAATTTTTTTTATTGTTTAGCATCCAGACAGGCGCCCCTGCGTTGTAGATGGCCAAAAAGTGTGTTACATTAGTGGTGACTATGTTTGACATTTTGGCATAGACCATGACAAGATGCATTATTTTCAAAAAAATAAAACAGAATGTTTTCAAATAATGGAAGAACCAATCCCGACCCGTACGTCATAAGATGCATTTCATAGAGTTTTTTTTTTTTGAAACGGAGCATTTCATAGAGTTAGAGCTATATGAAGTGAAGTTGCAAATGTTGTTCTGGTAAGTGTTGAGGCGCCTGACGACAGAAGTGGCATCAGATGCCTCAACACTTACCAGAACAACATTGCTTTGACATATGGATCAAAACCTTTCCGAAAGCTTTCAGAAAAAAAAACCTTTCCGAAAGCTAACAAGAAACTGGTACTTGTTGGGATTTCTGCACTTTTTTGGTCTCTCTGGCGATGTAGAAACAATATAATCTTTGATCGAAAGAAATGTTGTGACCCTATGATGCTTGTGAAAGTAATGTGCAATTGGATCAATGATTGGTCCATGTTGCAGATAATGGACCCGGAGGCAAACTTACAGATACCAGCAGCAAAGCTGGTAGAGCAGGTAGCAAATGAGATGTACTCCCTCCGTTTCTAAATATAAGTCTTCGTAGAGATTTCACTATGAATCACATATGGATGCATATAGATGCATTTCAGAGTGTAGATTCATTCATTTTGCTTTATATGTGGTCTATAGTGAAATCTCTTGTATTTAGGAACGGAGGGAGTACCATGCATCGGAGGGATGGAGAGCTGGTGTTTGGCGGCTGGGCAACTGACGGGACCTAGAGCAGGAGCTCAATGGCTTCTTCGTTTCGACGGCTGCCTATGCTGTTTCATACTTGGGGCTGTTCTAAAGTGATGTCTTTTGTGTAGTTCATGTCTTAGACTCCTCTGAATTTGGGATCCTGCGTGATCCGGTAACTCTAAGATTTGCGTGGCCCTCGTGCCCCTGGTCTGTAATTTGTCTCGACTGTCTTAGGTTTGAGTGTGTGTGCGTGGGTTTGCAGTTCCTTTAGGCCTGATGGTTTCAGTCATTTGAATCGGAGAGGGCGGCCTCTCTTTTGATCTAAGAAAAAAAAAGTGCCCCGACTGATTGAGCACATGAGATTGTGGAGCCAACCATCAACAGAGTGCAGAATAGGGTTGAGTTGCAGTTCATTTCCTGCAAACATACAAATGAATACAGCATAAGATGCACAGGCCGATTTTTTTTTCTAAAATGCAAGAAAAATCGCCATTATTTTTCAACAGAGAAAATAATCAGTGTTGCTAGAATGAGCAAGACACCCCCTTGACTTGATCAAAGATTACAGAATCATGTTTCACTATATATTTCAACACTGAATTTGGGGCCTTGAATGCCTCGAGAAAATACATCACCAGACCAGAGTGCAGAACACAAGACTTTGCCAAGCATTTAGAGCCACAGTAGCAAAACAAGTTAACAAGTCAAGAGTATGTACATACACATGGAAACTTGCAAAAGAGACTAGCAGTACATCAGTCATAGATACATACAGTGAGATCAATCTTGTGCACATGTAACTTCCTGATTAAGCCCAGTGCTGCTATTCATTCAGTTATATCAAAGCAGAGTTTAGCTTCATCCCAGGGGCCATTGATCTCAAACTTGTACTCCTGAATCCTGATAAGCCAGTAGGGGCAGACAAGCGAGATGAAAACGACGAGAGCCAGCAGCAAAATGAAGAGCATTCGATGCAGCTGGTACGTGACGCCCAGGGTCATGACCATGAGAGCAAAGGAGAACATCAAATGGAGTCTACAGGAGTACTTCTTGATACAAAATGTGACCAGCGGCGCAAACAGGAAGACCTGCAATGAGAAGAGCATGATTGCAAAGACGTGCAGCCAAGATGGCAGACGCGACGCCACAAGAACAGACGCCACTATCGACGCGTTCAAGGAGATGTTGCTGGTCAGCTTTGGGTTGTTGAGTGCACCTGGAGGCCTTATAGTGGAGCCAGAGTAGTCATGCAAGAAGAGATGAACCAGCAGAAGGAACACAGCAAGTGCCCAGATCGAATCTGAACTGATGGACCTGGTAAGGGTATGGCAAATTGGCGCCAGAACATAAAGGCCACTGGTGAAGAATGATATGTTGAGGACATACTTCAAGAGTAGATTCAGCGAGAATGGGCTGGTGGTGAGCAGGAGGACCAAGAACCCAACAAGCAGCAGACCAATGTCGAATTTCAGGAGAGTGATTTCGTCGATGGCCAAATTCAGCGTATGTGTCCATGTCGAAACTACAAGGGCGACGATGCAGAGATACTGGGAGATGGAGACAGAGTCGACCATCACCCTCAGGAAGTCCCTCTTGACGACATTGGCGTTCATGACCATCTCCTCCAGGAAGGAGTCGTCGGTGTAGTTATCATCGTAGCCTGGCTGCATGCCCCCATAGGCTACTTTTCTCCACTTTGTTCGACAAAGGGTCGGATTTCCAGCGCTCTTCATGCCTCCTCGCTACCATGCCTTACCCATTGCCACCGGATTTGATCGATCTATCGATCCAGATCGGGGTCCGGATTCGCACCCCTGATTCGCCGTGGTCACTCCGCCATGCTGTCGCGGGAGTCCAAGGGGGCGCGCCGCAGGGGATATGCTTGGGTGGATGGCTGGGCGGGGAGGCGGCGCGTCGGGAGAGCGTGAGGGCGGCGGCGTGGAAGGAGCAGGCGGCGGCGGCAGGGCAGGGAGGAGAATTGGGACGCGATGGTGGGAAGCGGGGGAGAGGCCGTGGCCGCTCACTGCAGGGCTGGCTCAAACATATTTTTTTTGACTCCACCTAGCTGGCACGCTTAAGAGTTTGAGCGGTACTTTTTCCTTTTTTCCCTTTTCTTTTTTTTATTTCTTAGAAACACATGTAACTTTATTTATACCAGCGACCATTTTTTTTGCACGTACACTACTTTCTTAGTTTCATTTCGTAACTTTGCTTATATTTCACAAATATGAATATCTTCATTGTGAATTTGGAAATGTCGACGTGACATTAGTTATTTTTCTAAATGATTAAAGATGTCGAATAGAGTATGTGGTGAATAAGCGACGAATTTTACTAAAGTGTTGATTTTATAGGAGCTGTTTCTTGTGCGAGTGGATTTTAGACGAACAGCGGATATAAAGTTTTCTAAAATGCTAGTTCTTTCATTTCAAGAGAGTTCACACATAATACCGAACCGGCACAAATAATTCTTTTATTGTTGGTACCAAGCGGTGTGGCCACTTATAATCAATTGACATATGGTTTTTTGTACAATCTCTGTAAAAACGGTTTATGGGGGCTTTTGAAGCGAGATTCTTTAGGCCCTTCTTTTACGCATATGATGCTGTATTTTTTGCCAATTTGGGCATTGATGAGATGCTAGGCGTAAAAGAAGGGAGGCATAACTTTCAAATGTTTTTGGTGACGCTAGTGGGCCGCTCACAAACCTGAAAAAGAAAGATCGGAAATTCTTCCGATTAGATGCTAGGCGGCCGACTTGCAAGAATGCCTCCCTTATTTTCTCGGTAAAATTGAGATCTTAAAAGCTCAGAGTTTGGAAGGGAAGAAACATTACTCGTCCTAGGAGAGTTATTCTTGCTAAGTCAGTTCTCACAGAGACCGGAATCTTCCACATGTTGATCCTCCACCTTGTCAAAGGGGTCGCAAAAGGATTTATAAGATTCATTGGGCATCCATCTGGAAATGTGATGATGGTGAGCACTCATGTGATGGCCACTCACTCATCAACCGGGACATAGTTTGTCATCTCAGGGGGATTAGCGGCCACATAATCCTTTATTTTGAGTGGTTTGGGAGGGCGCTCTACATTCAATGGATGTGGATCCATTAACAACCCCCTATAGGTCGTGTGTAGGGTCTACGCTATGCAAATGATATGTACTTGTTTAGGACTGCCACCAAAGTCACAATTGGCAAATGGCATAAAGGCAGTTCTTAACTTGATAGGTGTTTTGTTGGCAAAAATTGACCGCACAATGTATTTGTTTTTTTGTGAGAAGTCCTTTTTAGAATAACATGGAGAGCTCTCCGGCTCCATTCACGGAAAGATGCCCGAATGAAATAGGTCCAACACAAGGTTTTATGTAAAACATAGTAAAAACTAATAGTTCCAACATCAAACTAAAACAACTACAACATAAACGGACTAGCGGGAATATTCTCGAGGAGCATTCATGATTTTGCAGCCAAAACACAACAATATCAGGCTAGAAGCTAGGAGGCTAGGCATGCTACCTTCAGGGTGGAGAAAGGGCTCTCTGTGACAACGCCAAAGGACTGGGTCATGCTTGCTGTGTAGCCATCTACGCATGCTCTAGAGCTGGCATTAGGGAGGTCATCAAACATAGCTACACCTAAGTCCAGGGTCACCCCACTCTATCTGGAATAGATTATGAATCAAATGTTGCACGTGTAGGCATAATTATTCCACCTGGGCTAACATATGATCCTTGAATATCGGTCCCCATTCTTTGACCAACTTTAAACCAGTCACTATATTTGATTGAGAGAGCTCCATGAAACACCATTAAACACAATGTTATTCATGTATTTTCACCGGGCCTAAAGAACATTTAGCACATATTTAAAATCATCAAATATCTTTCCAGCAACCCAAAGAGAAGCCATAGATTCTATGTTACTTATAAGTGGTCTGCCAAATATATCACCAACTTTCCAAGAGCCACAAGAAGACATGAATCCTAGGGGTGGGGGTCACTAATTTCCTAACGGAAGGTATGAAAACATGAGCCATCACCCATCTAAAATTAATGATTGCATGCATAGAGCTACATGAATATTGCTGTGAGCTTTCATACTGCCAAACCAATGAATCACTAGAATCCATGAAAGAAATGCTCTTGGAAATCTTAGCAAGCTCAAGCCAGAGGTTCATCATGCTCTCATCAAAGTTTCCCATAAAGGTGTACTTAAGAGTGTGACCATCCCAGACTTTCTGGATAGTTTTGGCATTGCTCCCTGCAATCACAATAAAGATCTCAGAACTGCATATCTAATGGAGTTGATCCAAATTAGATATCCTCCCAAAATCGAATGCTCTTAACATCCCCAAACATCCACATAGATCTAAATTGTATTGCTTTTGTTGCCCACATTACTCCTTTCCAGAAGTTAGAGGACCCAAGAGCATCACTATGGGGGAGGTTGCAAGGTACTTGGCATCTACAAATTTCCTCTAGACCCCTCTCCTACCATGTACATCTTAACTTAGGAACCTAAGAGGCAAATATTGAGGTCATGCAGGTTAGGAATCCCAAGCCCTTCAAACTCATGTTTCATATTACCTTCGTCTCAAAACGTGTCTAGATACATTCGTATCAAGAAAAATCTAAGACAAGTAATTCGGGACATAAAGAGTACATACTAGCTGCCAGTTGACCAAATGAATCTTTCTATGTGTAACATCCCCAGTGTCAAGCTACAGTAATCTCCACCTAATGATTCCAAGTCATCAAGTTTAACTAAGCCAAATTGCCACTTGATAAAAATCAGCCATTTTCAATTAAAATAAAGTCAAAATAATATTTTTTTCAAACATGAAGACTAAAATGTTCAAAGTGTTGCAAATAATACATAACTAATTATGGTGGTGAACCCACATTTTTATAAAGTTTTTAAATGCCCTAAAATAATTAAAAAAGGGGCCAAATAATTATTTAAGTTGCCTTTTCTAAATTATGTAGAATACAAACTATTACAAATAAATCCCAAACTTTTTGAGGCAGTGTATAAAATTACATCTCTAATTTTGGGCCAAGTCTCATATTTGATAAAAGTCTTTTACTTTTGGAAATAAAAATAAAACAGAAACAAATAAAAGAAAAATAGAAGATAAAAAGAAAACAAAAATAAAATGAGAAAGGAAAACCCCCTGCCCTTGGGCCTCAGCCCAACAGACGGCCCACTTCGCCCCTTCCCTGTCGTCTTCCCTTCCTTCTGTTCACCGAAGGCCGTGCGCGCGCCCTAGCCGTCCGTGCGCAATGCCGCCGGCGGATGCCCGCCACCGCAATGCTACAAGATCGCTGGAAGGGGTATAAAGGCCGCCCCACCGTCGGTGAACCCTAAACCCCCAATTCACCCCTCGCTTCACCCTTTACCTCTCTGGACTCGCTCCCCCGAGCGCGTCCATCGCCGCACCTCATCGTTGGCGTGGCCACCGGCCTCCCCTCGCCGCACCGCCATGCCCTGCAGCTCCGCTGGCCTCACCTTCGTCTTCCTCGCCACCGGTACAGAGTCGGGGAGCCCCTGTATCGCCACCTGCCTCGGCCACCACTTCGACCCACTGTCGTTCGTTCTCCCCGACTCACTTGACCTCGCTGTTGAAGGAAATATGCCCTAGAGGCAATAATAAAGTTGTTATTTATATTTCCTTATATCATGATAAATTTTTATTATTCATGCTACAATTGTATTAACCGGAAACTTAGTACATGTGTGAATACATAGACAAACTAAGTATCACTAGTATGCCTCTACTTAACTAGCTCGTTGAATCAAAGATGGTTAAGTTTCCTGGCCATAGACATGAGTTGTCATTTGATTAACGGGATCACATCATTAGAGAATGATGTGATTGACTTGACCCATTCCGTTAGTTTAGCATTCGATCGTTTAGTATATTGCTATTGCTTTCTTCATGACTTATATATGTTCCCATGACTATGAGATTATGCAACTCCCGAATACCGGAGGAACACTTTGTGTGCTACCAAACGTCATAACATAACTGGGTGATTATAAAGGTGCTCTACAGGTGTCTTCGATGGTACTTGTTGAGTTGGCATAGATCGAGATTAGGATTTGTCACTCCGATTGTTGGAGAGGTATCTCTGGGCCCTCTCGGTAATGCACATCACTATAAGCCTTGCAAGCAATGCAACTAATGAGTTAGTTGTGGGATGATGTATTACGGAATGAGTAAAGAGACTTGCCGGTAATGAGATTGAAGTAGGTATCGAGATACCAACGATCGAATCTCGAGCAAGTAACATACCGATGACAAAGGGAACAACGTATGTTGTTATGCGGTTTGACCGATAAAGATCTTCGTAGAATATGTAGGAGACAATATGAGCATCCAGGTTCCGCTATTGGTTATTGACCGGAAATGAGTCTCGGTCATGTCTACATAGTTCTCGAACCCGTAGGGTCCGCACGCTTAACGTTTGGTGACGACCGGTAATATGAGTTTATGTGTTTTGATGTACCGAAGGTAGTTCGGAGTCCCGGATATGATCATAGACATGACGAGGAGTCTTGAAATAGTCGAGACAAAAAGATTAATATATTAGAAGCCTATATTTGGACATCAAAATAGTTCCAGGTGAAATTGGGATTTTACTGGAGTGCCGGAGGGGTTACTGGAACCCCTTGGGGGTTAATGGGCCTTGTTGGGCCCTAGTGGAGAGAGAGAGGGGCCGGACAGGGCAGG